CCGCTGTCAGGGAGCCGCTGACGGCCGGCCGCGGCGATGGCGTTGAGCGAGATGGATGGAGACGGCTCCGAGCCGGAGGAGAGCAAGAACCTGGAGCCGGATGTCATCGCCAGGGGAAATATTCTGGAGAGCTTCACGGAGAGCCAGGAAGTCAGGGGGCTCATCGGTAACCTCCGAGCAGCGTTTGGGGACCTGGTGACTCGAGAAACGACAATTGAAAAATTCATAGGTAAGCCCAGCGTCCAAAGGGACTGTGTTCTATTCTTGTTTAAATGACTTTAACGCAAAAAAGCGCTGAACGCTAATTTCAGGCTAGAAACAACGTTTGGGCTTTATTAACAGATAGTTTGGCCTAACTTTTTTTTAAACTCGTTTTGTTTTCCAGGTATATATTCTGTTCAGCCCTAGTAATTAAAATTCGGGTCTTGGATTTAAGAAATCTGAGTTTTGAGCCTTGCTTAGCTGCCCTGTGCAAATACAGACAGTAATTTAGTTAAAAGTTTTCAGAAGTGTGTGCAAGTTGCAGGCAAATGGTTTGATGTGTAGAAGGCCTGACTCACTATTTTAAAGAGTAATTTATTATCTGCCGCTTACATGGGTTTTGACTATAAATATAGCCCTACCTACAGTGTTTCTGAGACCCAAGCAGTTATTTGTTCAGCGATCTGATATCCATATACTCTCCCGCAGAGGTAGAGGCTTCCTTTAATGGTTACTTGAACTGACCTGAGAAATGTATCAGCTGGCAAAAGTTGCAGTTGTGAGAAAGTTCACAAAGGTGAGAGAGGACCAAACTATCTGAAACACATGGAGCTCAGTAAAAACAGTAAAAAGGGGCATCTTTTGCTTTAGCAAGTGTTCAAATGGTGTGACTAGAGGGGAAAAAAAGGTAGATTGTATTTGTTATTACTGACCGTAAGTTTGTATGTCTTTATCAAAATAAAGTCATTTTTGTATCTATTTGCTAGAAACGCATGCATTTTGTATTTTAAGATGGTCATTTCATCTTCTGAGTTTTACATCTCATAGAAAATATAAGGAGCAGAGTAACACAAACAAAAAAGACAGCTGACTCCACTCAGACTGCCTAGGTGTTTCTGAATGGAGGCAACTCGCATCTTAGTAGCCCTGGCCCTGTGCTGTATAATGAAAGCTAGGCAAGCGCTAGACATCAGCTGAATAACTGGTGGTGTAACTATGTTCGTGTAACAGTGTCCTAGGTAATTAGCCTGTTAGACTGCTCGTCTGTGAAACGGATATGATACCCTGAGCAGATAATTAGCAAAGACTAATTCAGAGTTTTGTGTATTTACAAAACAAATTATTTTGAATGCATTAGCATTTTGCAAATACTTTTGCAAAAACTGTGAAATTATAAAAACTCGCTAACAACAAGCATTGCTACAGTGTCTGTTTTCACCAAAAAGAAACTAGGTAGGCAAACAATGAACCAAAATGCCCCAAAATTGGAAATCTGGCCTTGCAGAAGTTATTCTGCAAGGAGAATTATAATTTATAGCAGGAAATGGACTCCGAGTTCAATTGACTAAATATATAAAACAATTCATAGACAGATTGTCCTGGAATAAGGAAGCCTGTACAAGAAGTTATTACATCTGCTGCCTGCGATCCGGTGTTGAGGCACTTCTATTCCTCCTGCCCTTTCTAAGAAAAAAAATCACAAAAGGTATAAATACACACACGCTGTTAGGTTCTGAATTATTTGTAGGTATGAGGAAAAGAAGCAGCTAGCACTGTAAATAGTTGCAATAGAAGCATCTGATGGGTATGTTGTGGCAGCTGCACCGACTTCTCCACTGTCACTTTTCTGCCCATGGTTTTAGAGTTGTGTTGCTGATTATTCAATAGTGTGCTCCACTGACTTGTAATTATTATTAATCTGTCCTGCATCCTTGATTAAATTAACGACCGTGATTTATCTGAGGAAGTTAATAACGAACGTGTAACTGCTCAGAAGGAAGAACGCTCGTATTTATGTTGATTGTTCGGTATCAAAGGTGAAAAGGCAGAATTTGATGGGATAGCAAAGCATGTCCCGGAAAATCTCAACCTCTGAAAAGCCATCATCTGCCTCTGGAACTGATGATCCTCCTGTGCCTTGCTGTCCTTCATGTTATATATACTACCTCTGTGTGTTTACGTTGTCTGTATTTCTGGCCTCCCTGCGTGCATCTCTCCTCTATCACGTTAATGAGAAACCTTGCTTGGCTACCCACTGAACCACTAACTTTTGCACTTCTTGGGAGCACGTCCTTTTAAAATTGGAGGGTATGGCTGTATAATCCTGATCAGAAGAGCATGTCGTTGCCCAGTAACTGCAAAGGTTAGTATACTTAACTTTGATAGGCACTGTATATATTGTTCAGTATCTGGTTATAAGATTTAGTGGGAGAATGCAGGAAAAGGAAGGGTTAAAAAGATATTTTAGTTTTAATTTAAAAAGACATTTTCTGACTAAATATCTAAAAGGATCCAGGTGATCATCGGTGCGATATTGGATTGTTTTGTCATCTCTTCTGAAAACTAACTTTCATTTCTGTAGCTGCTTTGCATTGATTTCAGGTTTAAATGGAAATACTTCTGTTTCTACAAACTGTGGCATGTTCTTAGTATTCCCAGTATTAAAGGGCATATGATAGACTGTTTTTCCTAAAGTCAGTTCCCAAAAGAAAGAAAATGTATTGATGACAGCAAGATGAAGCAAGTAGTGTGAAAATTTTTGAGGAGCACAGGATTTAGGGGTTAGTAATAGCTACAGTTTGTATTTGTCCAGGTGGTTAATGACAAATTTGTTTAATCATATCAGGGATTTTTATTCTTTGCTGAATAATTTCCTTTGTTCTATTTCAAAACAAAAACAATTCTAGCTCTGAGAATTGTGATGAGCACCTTCCAGTGCAAAGGGATAGTGTATTTTTTCCTATGCCCAGGAAGCTTAAAACAGAGAGAAAAAAATTTCGCAACTCCTGTATCCTGTTTCAGTCCAGATCCTTAAATATGTTCCAAGCATGGGAAGGAAGATATCCTTGTGATGGAGCCCTGTGTGTCCAAGGAGAATTTTCCCATGGCTCTCTTAGCCCCACGGCTGAAAAAGTCTTCATGCTCCTGCGCTTCTGGGTGTTTATGTGTCGTTGTGTGTGTATTTTTGAAAAGAGTTAGTTACCTGACATGGTAATAAGTAGAATAGTGTGTAGAAGTAAGTGGAATTTGGGATGTTCAGGGAGAAGAGTTCTCCAGGGAAGGATAGCAACAAGCTGAGTGACTGCTTGTTTTAGCTAGCTGTGAGATTTGTCCGCAGTAGTGTGAGACACTCCTGGAAGGGAGTTAATGATTCGGTATAGGTAAATGTTAGTGCTCTAGAAGTGGACAGACCATATGGTTACAGTAACTTCTCTGAACTCTTCCTACTTTTTGACCTCATTTACAGATGGTGGCAGCGCTTAGCTCTAGGGTATTGAAATCTTACACTAAAGCTGTCTAGAATCAGGGATGTTTCTCACATTTAATACTGTTAAGGGCCTCTAATTTGAATAGCTTTTCACAAATATCTTTTCCTTTTCAGTTATAATGGACAAGTACCAGGAGCAACCTCACTTGCTGGATCGACACTTAGGTAGAAATGTCGTCTTTACGTTTTTTTTTGTTTTTTTTTTTAATGTATACGTGAAAACGTATTAAGCCAAAAAATCCTTACTTGCATTGCAAATTTGCTGTGGTAGGCATTACATATATGACTATTATCTCCCTCTATATTAAAAGTATGAGAAATTCAGAGCTACTATATGTAGTTTCACTTTTTTTTCCTCTCCTTTCATCAGAGTGGATGATGAATTCATT